GTTTATTTTACCAATGAATGAGAATTCGAGCAACGAGTTGGTGTTATTTTCAAACTTGTACAAAAAGTGCTATATATAATTTAAAAGTGATTTACGGCACAATTTTGGGTGATTTGTGCGATTTTTAGCACAATGGGGCATTTTATGCAATTTTCAGCATTTTTTTATAACAATTAGAGTGTGTTTTGTTTTCTTTTCTTTTTTTAATTAAAAGCAAAGCCAAAAAAAAATTTTAAAAAAAAAATATGATTCAGAGAAGTTTTATTGTTATCCCAATTGAAATCAACAAATTTGTTCTAACACCACATTAATAAATCATAAGCAATTTATATTAGTAAAGGTAATGAAAACCGGTAATAATATTTCTAAAGATTACGACTTTTTGTTCTAATTAATAATTTAATATTAAATTTTTTATGTTTATTGTAATTTTATTATACGATATATATTTTAAATTATTTTTAATACAATATAAATGATGCGGGAAGATAATACGTGAAAGACGATGCACAGTACATTCATGTATAAATTATAATAAATAACAATGTTCCAAAGTCCAATGTTGACCCAATACATTCAATTTAGTGACGTTAAATAGCCTAAGTATGCTCAATTATAGTAAGATCAGTGATTGGTTGAAACAAACTGCTTGCATTGTTGCCTTACACGTGTCCACACTACAGACGGCGCCAGTCGGATTTTACTCCTCACTATTTGTCAGTTGTAATAATACTAATAAGTAATAAGGGAAAATTACAAAAAACACCATGAGGTATGGACAAATTACAAAAACTCCCTTCCTGTTTAGATAATTACATTTACCTAGCTATGAAACTTCTTACACCTCCACCCTTATGATGTCAAATTCAACATATTTATCAAAAAAAAAAAAAAAAAAATTCAACATAATCATCTAGATTCCGTGGAATGCTCTCTAGTTTGTACTAGTTTTGTGCAAAAATACAGTTTCTCATGCACCACAATCTTATATATATATATATATATATATATATATATATATATATATATATATATATATATATATATATATATATATATATATATAAGCCAAAAAATACAGATTATGATCATTTTGCTTCAAAATGTGGAGCTTGAATGGGATAAAACGAGTACAAAATTAAAAATATTCCATATAATCTAAAAGATTCCACTAATTTGAAACTGTAATGATGGACGTGTAAGAAGATTTATCGTTGAAGGGTGGTTATAATTACCCAAACAGGAGGGGGTTTTTCGTAATTTGATTATATCTCAGATGGAGGTGTTTGTAATTTACCCTACTAATAACAATAAAAATGGGTAATAACAATAAAAAGGGGTTAAATACGGTTTACCCCTAAAGTATACCATCTGCAACACTTACCGCTAAAGTATCATTTATAACACTTACCCCACAAGCTCAACTTAATTTGTATTTCAAATTATAATGCATTAAAATTTTCCTTTTTATTCAAATAAATAACTAAAAGAATAATTAAATTATACAAATAAAAATTTCTATAGAAAAATACAATATTTAAAAATTTAAAAATATTATCTTGTGTTGGGAAGATATTTAATAAATACCATGTAATTGTTATTGGAACAAGTAATCAAATATATTCATATCGATAAATTTTAAGAAATCAATACATAACTAATAGTAATGTTAAGTATTCAAATATATTTTAGTTCATTAATTTCATAAATTATATTTCCACTCATTATTATACAACATATATTACTTTTTATTTTTCCAATAATTCTATTTTTTAGTTACTTCTCGTTTTTTTATGATACAAATAATTATTAGATTGTTATGTTTATTAGTTTTTAAATTTTAACATATAAAATAATTGATATTGAGGGGCAAGTGTTACAAATGATACTTTAGGGGTAAGTGTTACGTATGCTATACTTCAGGAGTGCAAAGTGTATTTTACCCTCATAAAAAAAATTTGGTTTAATCCGATTTTGCACCCTTGAAATATACCATTTTGACACTTTGCACTCTCGAAATAAATTAATCATACTTTGCACCCTAAAAACACAATCTATCATGCATAATGCACCACAAATGAATTTTTAAAGCTAATAAAGGCAATTTAATATTTTTAGTAGCATTCTTTTAGAATGCCGAATGTCAAATCATTTTTTTTATTCATCAATCATTTTTTTTATTCATCAATCATTTTGAAACTATAGAATGCAAAAACAAAAAATACATTTAATCAATATATATTAAAAAAAAATTATCACAAAAAAAATATTTTACTAAAAAAAATCCTTCAGTTATTTCGTTCTCAAGTTACCTGGAAATCATAGTTTCTTTCAAATATTTCTACATAATATTTCCACCAATTACAATAAAAGATCCATTAATAAGTTATTGATAAAAAATATTTTATTTTATTTTGTAATAGAATATAGTTTTTTTTTTTCAATAATTCGGTGTTATTTTTATTTTTCCGCACTTCGCACGCTTGGAATTTGATTGAAGGTTGAAAAAAATAAAATTTTAATTTGTTATTTTGAACCCCGAAAAAGAAAACGAATAAAAAATGAAATTTTATTTATTAGTTAATTCATGGTGCAATTTGTTTTGAGGGTGAAAAGTGCTACTATTGTTTTTCAAGAGCGGAAAGTGCCAAAAAATTCTATTTCAAAGGTGCAAAGTGGGGTTAACCCTAAAAAGATTAATGAAATTATTCTTATTTTTATTAAAAAGATACATATTCTGAAATATTGAACAAATAAATCAGACCAATCACAAAAAAAGATTAACACTAACGTACATGCTTGTTATTTTTATCAAACATGTCTAGAAACTTGTAATGCAATGCAATGCAATGAACTATCTCCAAAAACCTGATTTGGTGACGTCAGCACCGTTTTGGATATTAGTGTTGGTCTGTGACTAATTTGTGAGCCCCACTTGATTTTCTGTCAGCAATCTCGTCTTCTTTTTTTATTTTCTTTTCTTTTGGTATATTCTCGACAAATAAGTTTTACTATTTAGTTCAATATTTTCTTGATAAATCTTTATTTCTTTTTTTTATTTTAATATGAGCTAACCCACTATAGAAAAATATCAAATGGGAATTAAAATTTGATTCACTCATTAAAAGAAAATGCCCGATACAAGGCCTTTAATTAAAAACTTCATAACAAAACAAACACATGGGAAGAAATTTAATGTTTCTTGTCTCACATTGGTTTTTTACAAGAAAACCATATCAAACTCTACTTATAAATATGTGTTATCATTCACATAACAAGGTATGCACTACTTAGGCAATTAGTTAATGTTAGTTGCTTATATTGTGATACTTTTCTGACTTGAGCGTCGGAGGACAATCGTCAGGCCACCCCAGACGCGTCACCTAGTGTTTTCAATTGTTTTGTAGATTAACGAGAGGACCAATTACTTTGACTACCTCGAGACTCTTGGGTTGCCCAATCGACATTTGAGCTCCATTAGCTGTCAATTTTCAGCCAATTTTCAGATACTCATTGTCGACGGATCCCGATAACCTTATGCAACTTTTAAAAGTTCACTTCCAATTTTCGCAAATTCACTTTCGATTTTCATATTTTCAATACTAATTTCCACTCAAGTTTCGTAAGGTTGTAGTCACATGTTTGTAATCAATAGGTACCGTACCATCAATGTCTTCCACATTTACTAAACTTAAAATACACATAAGAAGAATACGTATAATTAGCAACAACAAATAATTAATAAAAAATGATTTATAAACCATGTAGTACGAAAATTTCAATTTCTTAACGTTTCCGCGTTTTGGAAACGTTTCGTGTCAGAAACTCGAAAATATTTGTCGGACATTTTATGGGTCATTTTGCAATCTCTACAAAGTTAGAAACATGTTCGGATATAACTTTTTTTTGAAAACAAATTGTTGTTTCCCAAATTATTTACATAATTTAGTGATCAAATTGCAATTTGATAGTTGATATAGTAACATTAATTTTGAATATGTTTGCATAAAAAATATATACAAAGAATTTTTATATAAATAAAAACTTATATATGTTTTTATATAATACTTATAAATATACCCCTATACTTTTAAATTTACACATTTACCCTTAATTCCCGTATCCCCATTTTATTAGAACATGTCGTTTTCCCGTATTCGTTTCCCCATATCGCCGTTTCCATGTCCGTGCTACATAGTTTATATGAGATATAACTACTCAACGTCAATACAAAAACAAACTCATATGAGTAGTTTTAGTTATATGATTTTATGAAAGTGGATGTCTTATTTTTGATACTTTTATGAAAGTGTGTGAAACTCTTAAAAATATTAAAACTCATGTGAATTTCGAAAGTTTCATAGCTATTGAAATTTGAATGAACTTCTAGATTTCAAAAATTTTGGAATTGTATATGTACTCCAAAAACAAATCATTTTTCTAAAAAAAAAAAAATTTCAATCCGTTCCATCTAATTTGATCCATAAGTCCAGTTCACTCGTATCAAATAGCAAATGAAACTATGAAAATAGATGATTTTATTAAAAGAAAAATATATGGGTAAATTACATCCACACCCTTAATGTATAATGAAATAACTTTAAGGTCTTTGCGGTATCGGTAATTACACTCACTCCATGAAACATAGTTAAAAACTCTAATGGGATAATGCATTAGATACGTTGTTCCAATAGAGTTCTAACAGACTATTACTTTTAGTAAGTGGTGTAGACAACATAGAGCTAGGGGATGACATGACTCCCCGAGCATTTCTTAAATCATCCATAGCGGTATGTTGTCTCTACCATTTCCTGAAACTAATAGTCCGTTAGAAACCTATCGAAATAACGTATCTAAGGCCTTATCCCATTAGAGTTTCTAACTATGGTTTAGGGGGTGAGTTAATTACCGATACCACATAGACATTAAAGTTATTTCATCGTACCTGAGGGATGTGGATGTAATTTACCCAAAAAATATTATTTTATTGTAAATGACTATCGACACCCGAGGGCTTTTAGGTAATTTTAAATCAGTATAAATATAGCTTGATATTACAGTAGCAAGAGTCCCACTTCTCCCATGTAAAATACCTTCCAAAAATAGATACAGAGCTCCAATATATATATCCATGGCGCAAGTCCTGACAGAAGAACGCACCAACACCTTCCACAGCTTCTTCGAATCCTGGCTCGTCGAGCAGGACCACTACCTGGAGGAGCTCGTCTCCGCCTCCAAGCGCCGCCGCGTCCACCACCCCTCCGCCGCCGACGACGACGACACCGTCCTCCGGCAGAAGATCGCCAGAGTCATCGACCACTACGAGCAGTACTACCGGGCCAAGTCCACCTGCGCGAAGACCGACGCGCTTCCCATGTTCAACCCGCCGTGGCGGAGCAGCCTCGAGGACGCCTTCCTCTGGATCGGCGGCTGGCGCCCCACCATGGCCTTCCACCTCCTCTACTCCAAGTCCGGCCTACAGCTCCAGGACAAGCTCGCCGACCTCCTCCAGGGCCTCGCCGCCGGCGACTTAGCCGATCTCTCGCCGGCCCAGGTGAACCAGATCAACGACTTGCAGAGGGCCACCGTGAGGGAGGAGAAGGAGATCTCCGAGAAGCTTGCCAAGCAGCAGGAGAAGGTGGCGGATACCTCCATGGTGGAGCTCTCGAACGCGGTCACGGAGGCGATGAGGAATCCCGCCGCGGCGGCGGCGGTGGATGACGGCGGCGACGGACGAGTTGCGGCGGCGCTGGCGCCGAAGGAGGTGGGGCTGGCGGAGGTGCTGCAGAAGGGCCGATGACTTGAGGCTGAAGACGCTGAAGAAAGGTGCTTGGGGTGCTGACCCCGA